AACCTGCCGTTTTCATTTCACGTCTTAAATGCGCATGAAGGAATTAAACTGCACGAGTGAATAACAGCATTAGTTTCAATTAATTTTTATCCTGGCAACAATAAACTTTAGAAACAAAGCGCTTTTACATCCTTAATTAGTCTTGCTTCCATCTGTAGTCTTTTAAGTGCCTGCTCCTTGATTTAACTTTGTCCCTCCTTCAGAGCCGCCTCCTTTTTCATTCTTTTCCCTTTTTTCTCGTTATCCCTTCCAGACTGCTGCCTGTTTCTTTCCTGCAACCTTTCACCTCCCTTGTCCCTATCTGTCTGCTCTGCTCTGTGCGGTTTATTTCTACTGTATTTTCCCAACATCAACAGCAGTATTGGTTACCATGGCCCTGAGCTATGTGCAGAGGTGGGAAAGCTTCATCCGCCCAAAAGTTCTTACACTTTTGAAGTCTTTCTTTTAGTAGGATCTGAAATGTATCATCTAGAGTGTGTATTAAATGAACAGTATTCCTGAAGGCTTTAGAGCAAGAAAGGCAACACCCTGGAAAATTCTGCAGTCTTTCAGCATTCTCTGCCCTAGGGTTATAGCCCTGGGCACGGAGCTGAATGGAGCTCTTACAACTGCCTTCTGTTTACCTTTTATGGTTAAAATAACAGCTTAGCAAAGAAGCAACTTCATGGAGAAACGATTCAGTGAAATCATCTCAAGCTGTAGCAGCATAGCTAGTTTAATCACCCCTAGAGAGCTGAACAACTGTGAGCACAATGGGACACAAAATCATTTTGTGTGTAAATGAGCATGGCATTGTGATTATTTCACTTTGCATGGGCAAATAGTTTTTACAAGCAGTACTTATGCAGTTAGCTTAGAAAGGCAGAAAAAGATAAGCTGGCTCTGAAAGATCTTGGTGTGTAATGTTTGAAAAACTAAATATTCACATAATTTGGGAATCAGGCTCTATTGATTTTGCCTTCAGCAGGTTCCTGTGTTACTTATTAGAGCAGGGTTATTGCCTGTGCCACTAGTTGGGATGCTGTATCCTGTTGTAGGCAGCTAAAGAGCAAGGATTATTTTACATGGTTTAATAAATGAAGTTTGTTAGTGTTTCTGTGATATTTACCCTTAAGGTTTTAATTTTCACATCAGTATTAGAAAATACGTGCATAAAGACTTTCACTGGATAAATACATTTAGGATTTTGCTTTGTGCATAAAATAAGTACATTACTCAGTGTGATGAATTTTAGCTGCGTTTTACATTAAGAGGAAGGAGCCATTAGAAATAGGGTTACGGTACCTTAAGAAATAGGGGGTATTTATTTTTTTTGAGCAATAGGAGTGTTTTCAGTGCCCTTTATGTAGTGCTTGGCAATTACGCCCCTTGATAATTTGCTCATATGAAAATGATTGAGTTCCACAACTTTGATAAAAACGTAGGATTCATTTTTTTTGATACGAATCCTCTCCAACCAGGGGAAAAGACTGCGTTTTAATTCCCCTTCTCCTCCCCTCCCCCAAAAAACAGTGGCACCCTCAATAAGTATGAAAAGCCATAGAAGTTTGAGAACTATTTTAGCTTTCCAGTGATTTTCTATAATTGTTTTTTCAACACATGCTCTAGCTGAGAGATGCCAAAAGCAGAGGATTGTTCAAAAGGTCCCTCCAGTGAGTAGTATAAATTAAATATCTACTGTGTGAGCATGGCCTCAGTGAGAATCTCAGACTCTTTACAGATCAAGGAATTTACTGGTATACTAACATTAAACAAAATCCTAAGATAGCAGCAGTGTTTAAATATGCACAAATAGATTCAGATCACTTGATCTTTAGCCATCTGTGCATATTTTAAAATTGAAGTCTGTATTTCAAGACAAATGGTTAAATGCAAGACGCGTTTACAGAGGACTGGAAGTCCTTTGATTTCATTTGGAAATTGTAACAAGGGGTGCAGATGAGCCCTAATTAGGCACTTGTTTTGTGAAACTGCATGAGATTTATTTCTAAGGCAGCTCAGTACGGTGCGAGGTCTGTACCTTTATCATTAGTGATAATAGTTGGGGTCTGAACAAAGACAGGGTTGACATTCAGCCTGGATCTTCTGACCCTTTCATTTAAGTGAAGGAGTAGAGAGTGAACATGAGTTTACAGTGCTCTTTGGTAAGAAAAAAATCCCAACCTTTGTCTGTGTTAGCAGACAGATAAGGCAACCACAGATTAGGAAACGTGTCACTAAAATGCTGTAGGTACTTACACACTAAGTTGTTTTTGAAAGTTAGTTCTTTTATTTATCCTATATGACATATTTACTGAAGATTGCCCACAACAGGCTCTTGTGGGAAACAAGAAAGCAACGTTTTCGGTCATGAAAGGATTCAATCACTTTCCTTGAAGGTGGTGCTGTAGTAAAAATGTTAATGCCCAATTTCGCATCGCTGACACAGAAGTCCTAGGACAGAGTTGGTATTTGCTTCGTGTTCAGTGTGGATGTCCGTCCAGCTTCTGAAGAGAAAAGGATGTGGATTCATAATGGGGTGATGTATTTCTGTGCTGTAGATGCAGGAGATTCTTAAGAACTAACCAAGATGAAATACAGTAAATGGAGATGTTGTGATGACTTTGTGAAGCTGTCTAGATGTATTAAGATTTTTCAATCCCGTTCTGTATAGCTGAGAAATTTTTTTAACAAAGAATGTTGCTAATTGTATGTTCATCGAGTGGCGTAGCCAGGCATCTTGTGCAAAATATTGCTAAGAGAAAGGCGAGACCAGCTTTAGATTTCTAAGAAACATTGTCAAAGTAATGTGGGAGAAATGGGAATTCACTTTGCAACGCTGCATGTAAAGTGCTTGTCAGATGTAAGGAAAAGCCTGGATGCTTGGTAGCACGCTTGCAGAACAAAATACCAAGAAAATTAGATTATATTCAGAAATGTCTTCAACTATAATGTTTTGCATATGTTGCTTTACCCATAAGGGGGAGAATAGATGGACATTTTCTTAAACTTTTATAAAAGGTTTTTTTTCTGTTTAACATGTATGCTGTCTATACCGATTTAACTGAAATCTGCTTTGAGACACATGTTTTATGTGGAATAAGCTGTGCTTTTCTTAGAGAAGAGAATTGAGGAATTTTCTTTTGCTATGCTTGTCCTGTTCATTTTTAAGTCATTGCAGTATTTTTTGCTTTGTACATCAGCTGAAGATTTTTGGACTCAACTCAGAAATTTCACTAATTTTCAAATATTTTTAGGGCAGTAAACATTAGGTGGATTGTTGAATTTGTAATTTCACATGCCAGATTGTACAGTACTTTCTAACGCGTCTTGCCATGAAAGCATGGGTCAGTTTATGTATCTTCCTGTTTTCACTGCTTCCAGGTATTAATTGCTTTCAGTTTGAAGGCTTATTAGTTCTTTATGTCTAGTATTAAGGCTTAACCAAAAATTATCCATTTATTTCACAATTATTGAAAATAAACCAGAAAATTGATCTTAGTTTGATGTGAAATTTACTACGTGTATAAACTAAATGCCTTAGGTACTGAGGAAGTCACTAATTTAGAGGTGTCTCGTTACTGAGACAAACTTGCAAAAACCCCTGAATCCCAATTCACAAATTGGTTATTCGTTTGTCAGGGGATATTTCACATCTAACACATAAGCCCGCGACCTTTAATTAGAATTTTGCAGTTTGTTTTATGCCCCTTGAGGCTGACACCTTGAAAAATTTTTTTCTTGATTTCTTATTGCTAATAAGCATCTTTCTCTTCCCCTCTGGTACTTTGAAGAAAATGATGCAAATACACTTAATTACAGTGGTGGCAATAATTTGTTAGCTGAATATGTGATCAGGCAGATGCAAAAATGATCTGATTAGATCTGTGATCACACCGGAAAGAAAGGTAACATACTGCTACATTTAAGAGAAACTGTTCTTTTTTTGCCTTCCCTTTGCAGGAGGGAAGAAGCATGTCCCGTCTGTCTCTAACACGGTCCCCGGTTTCTCCTCTGGCTGCTCAAGGAATTCCTCTTCCAGCTCAACTCACCAAGTCGAACGCTCCCGTGCACATCGATGTAGGAGGACACATGTACACCAGCAGCCTGGCTACCTTGACAAAGTACCCAGACTCCAGGTAAGACCTTGGTGGTTTCAGGCTCGCTGCCCGGTTCTTTTCATTGCATGGAAAGAGGCATGTACCTGTGAGGAATATTTCAATACAAAATACGATTTATTATATATTCACCACTTATGAATAATTCAGTTTTCGATTTATACAGTAACTTCACTGGGGTTCTACAGAAAAAAGAGCCTGTAAAATTTATGTATTATTTAGAAAGTCTATTCATTTTCTCTCTCAACGTCTTCTGCACTTTGCCGATACATTTGAAGCACCTGTTGGTGTGCTGCCCTAGATTATTTCCAACTGTACCAAGCAACTTCTTTCTTTCAGATTCAGGGGGAAAAAAAGATTTTTTTTTCTTCCTTAAGAAAACAGAATGGCTCTGTTACACTGGGACTAATGGATTCTTCTGTTGCCCAGCCAAAATCCTAACCTGAGTGGTAGCTGTGTGCCTCAGTGTCAGTGGTCGTTTCCTTTGGGCAGTGGCCGCCTGACCTGCTCTGTCTGCTTGCAGCTGCAGATGGGATTGAATCTTTGCATGCTCAAAGGTAGCTGATTTGTGCCGGACAGGTTGGTGACACATCTGGCAAGATTTATGTAGATCTGGCCAGTATTATCTCAGAGTAGACTCCAGCTATGCCAAATGATGAATAGATGTGGCATGAGAGTATATTTGTGTATATGACATAGAGTCTCTTTATTATTTGCCTGGCTCCCGGTCCTGGGAGGTACCGGGCACCGTGAAGGCTGGGCGATCCTAGGCAGCATCAGGCTTATGACAGTAGTGTGGAAGGGACCGCTGTGTGAAGGGTTAAAGCAGATTCACTGGAGCAGTACGTTAAGATATAGCTGATTCTGATTTACAGTTATGATCACTAAACCAATTCAGCTTTTCGTCATTTGAACTGCTTATTTTTCAGAAGGCTAAGTGCCTCCTGTGTAACCAAGAAAAGGTGTGGATGTGCAGTGTCAGGGTCCCCAGCGGAACAGTTAAAGGAGGCACTATTGTCTCAGAAGCGAACCAGAGCCCAGGTCAGCAGGTTTCATTGCCAGAGGTTTTGCTACCTGCATGGCCAGTGTTTCCATAAGGGATAGGTGTATTTTTTTGGTATGACCACCAGTGTAAAGCTCTAGCTTCATTTGAAGATTTTTTCCTTTAAAAGAACTAGGGATTTTTGCACAGATTTGGCAGGTTCCCAAGCAATAAATGACATTTATGGAGACACCTTGAAATGCCTCTGATGTCATAAAGCATATGGCTGTGATTTCATTCCAAGGAAAGGGAGCTGTTGAAATTCTCTATGGAAAAGAAACAATTATTGAAATACCTATATTTTATGGTCAGGCCAAAACAATATGATTTTTCTGGACAGTATCTGTTTAATGATGTCTGTGTTGTACTACTTTAATCATAGAGAAGAAATCTGTTCGGTGGGGAGAGATTTATAACAGAGAGGCAGACAAATGCTTCATAGTATAAAAAAATACAGAGAGAATCAGCAGTTGTTATAGAGTAGCACATCTGTTTCCACATTTTAAAATATCTCCGCTGACACTATTTTTAAAATATGCCCCATATCAGACTTACTTAATAAAAGCTTCAGTTATGGAAGCTGTGGGAAAATATATATAAATTCACAAATTTTATTTAAAGATAATATAGAGTACTGATCTAAAACATTTTTTTTTCTATTTGATAAATAACAAAAGCGTATTTCTTCGGATTTTGTACTTTGTTTAAACTGAAAGTACAAAACTGTGACTGACCAGAGCTGACATGCTGCCTGATGTTTTGCTCTGTACTGTCTTTTGTTTGTATTGCTCTGCTATCCTATAAGGCTTGAATGCTTTTTCAGCTGCTCAAACTGCAGTTCTCACTGGAGAAAGAGCTTACAGGATGAGATCTGTAAATCACATAATTTTTAAAGCAAAAGATAACTCTTCACCAGCATCCCAAGTAGGACATATTGCTACATACATTATGAAGCTGGATGAAGGGTACATGTTAATTTATTATTTTTCCCTTTTTTCCTTTTTAAATTTTTTTTTTTTCATTTGTTTTTCTGCAGTGCTGCATAGTAGACTTGGTTAGTTACTCCCCACTGAGTCTGGCCGGCTCTCGTTCCTAGTTAAGGCAAAGTACTTGCAGTTATTTCAGTGGAGATGGTTTGAGCTCCTGATGGTGCTTCACTGCCCTGGTGTGTATCTTCCACAAGGCATGGACTGTCTTCGCAGTGGTCTGGCTGGGAGAGGAATTCCGGGTCTCTCACAGGTGCAGGAGGAAGGAGATAGCTTTTCTGAGCAAGACATCTGGAAATAATGCCAGAGCACTGTTAGCTTATGCTCAGAGATAATATGCATGGCCACATATAGAGGCATGGCTGTACTCATCTGCACACAGGGCTTTCTGGATTATTTTGGACAGCGTGTTAGACTCTTGGTTTAAGTGTCAGTTTAAAAGCTTCAAATCTAAGAAATGAAACAAATTTATAGATTGTATTTCAGCAAAAGATGTAAGCATATGCTGAAATGCTTTGCTAAATCTTAGCTCCAGTCACATAAAATAGTTTGCGCTCACTAAAATTGAAAGCAGTGGGAATAAACTTCCACTCTATTTGTGTTACAATCTCTATTTCTTTCTCTGTGCTCCAAAATGCTAAGTAGGCTTTTCGCTTGTAGTATATACTGTACATGTATGTTTAAGGACACGTACAGATTGTGAGCATGTGTATAAAAACAATCAGGGTATGCATACACAGAGGCATCACATGCTAATGGAAAAACAGAAAAAAAACCAAACATCAGATCACGTTTATACTTCCATAGTATTTTGAGGAGGCCCAATCCTGTTAGGTCCTGACCAGACTCAGTTCACACTGACTTCAATGGGAGGGAAGAGCTCCCAGCAGCTTGCCAGATCAGGCCCAGCTGGAGCAAGTATAGGTATGACCAGTTCCTGCCTATACCTGCTCTCCAGTCACCCCTCTGGTATGATATAAATTACACCTGACAGCAGGCAGCGTGATACATTTCTTATTGTAATTTGTTAGGATTGACTGTGCTCAGCCCACTCGGCTGGCTCTGCTTGGCTGTTCCCAAGTTATGTGGTTGGCTCTAATTCGGGGAGAGAAAGGACCTGATTCGGGAAGTGTTACTCACGTGAGTGGCTGGTGGTGTGAAGTTGGAGGCCAAATCTTGCATTTCAGTGATCCCAGAGTTCTTCCAGAGCAACTTTGACGAAGTCTTTGATGTTGTTTGTATTAGTGCAGCTGCTGTGAGAAAAGCATTTGTCCATTGATTAAATTTACATAAGTAAAGGCTGCCAGATTAGGCATTAAAGGGGGTAGACACCCTCTTTCTAACAAATTTTTTATGGGCTACATAAATTCTCTCATCTAAAAACGAAAAAACTTGAGCAGTGCACAACTGGTGTGCCAAAGGAGAAGAGGGTTAAACAGCCACTGTCAAAGACGGTTTCTAAACCACTCACGCTCACCTGATGCACTACTCTTACATACCTTTCCAGGTGGCTTTTTGAATGAAACACCATTTAAGAAAGCAAGCTTGCCTTTCAGAGGGTGAAAGACAAGGAAAATGAGAAACATATAAAAGAAACTGTTCAACAACAGAGTAATGATGGTGGTCATGGAAAATAATCTCAGAAATAATATTATTAATCCCTCTTCCTGTAGCTACTTGGGGCTGCTTGCCGTGCATACCCAAAATTGCCATTAAAGTTAACAAGCTTTGGAGGTACAAGGAGGCCAGCGTTGTCTTACCTGGATCTGAGGCTCATTTTCAATAGATTATTTTCAGCAAGTTCTCCCACCAAAACTCCCAGCTCTGGTAGTTGTGAGTTACAGGTAGAACGAAAATAAACCTGTTGAATTCGGTCTAGTGGCTCTTACCATCAACATCTTGTTTCTAAAGTAACTGGCTAAGTAGACAAATTATTCATCTCTGAGAGCATTTCCTCTAGAAATTCCATTCATGTTTTCACCCAGAGGACCTCTAAAGCAGCCCCTTCACACATTGACACTTGAATATGGATTTATATGACAGATTGTAAAGGCTGCAAAACCTCTAGCACATCTATGAAGTGAGTTGCAAATTGTATTTATCCAAGGGAGTGAGACAATTCTTACATTCAAAACACAAACCCACACCAAAAGTCCAAGCTCCTAAGGTGCGGTCGGGAATACCCAAAGATGTTGCCTCCAGTCTTACTCCCACTGAACTCAGTGGCAGACGTCTCATTGACTTCAAGTGGAAAAGAACTGGAAGTTCCAAATCCCTCTATACCACAGCAAACCCCAGCTTCTCGATTTCACTGGAAATTTTGGTATCACTTTGAATTTTTGTTAGAAAGCAAAACAAGATTTTTCATCAGAAGCCTGTCCTTTTCGCAGCCCTGAATACTGTTTTTAATTTAGAGAATTGCTGTGAGCTCTTTGTGAGTTGTTCTGCTATAAAAGGTAAATGTATTTACCTTACATTCTTGCTTAATTAGTATTTGTTGTATAACCCTCTCTTAAAGATATGTATGTTCTTTTGTTCCAAATGTATTTATAAAAGCTCACGCTTTCCGTGGCGTTAGACAGGTGACAGAAGCAGGACTAATTTTAGTTGAAGCAGCACTGTCTAGGTGGGAATAGGGTGGGTGCAGAGACCCCGGAGAGCCTCTCCCTGGTAGTTTGTAGCACACCGTGTTTGGGGCCTCTCTGCTCCCAGCCTTCCTTCTGCGGGAAAACGGAGCTTTTTGGCCCTGCAGCCCAAGACACGCTGAGCCAGTGCAGACATAGTGCATGTCCTGATCTCAGCTTTTGGGGCACCTGGGCTTCACCACCCCCTTCTCTGGAAGCTCTGTCCTCCCAAGAAAACCAGTGCAGGCTTTATTAACTGTTTCAGAAACTAATGACCTTAGCTGTTACATAGTAGAGTTTTCTAGGCATATCCCTGCCTCAGTTTTCTCTGAACCCATCCACTTTTTTGGTGATTTACAAAGGAGTCCC